ATGGTCCCTTGAGGGACGCCGCAAGTCAACGAGTAGCTACTGGATAGCGACCCGTTGACAGAGCATTTTTGTGTTCGGTTTTCCAAATATGACTGAAACCATCTGAAAGATTTTCCATGTATACCATAATAGTTTAGTTTCGATAGAAGGATCTGATGATCAACAGTGTCAAAAGCTTTTTTCAAATCTAGAAAAATGACTCCATTGATTTTCTCGTTATCAATATTATACGCCCAAGAATCTGTCCCTTCCCACAAAGCTGTTACAGTTGAATGATTAGCACGAAACTCTGATTGGTTTTGACATAGAATATCGTGCTCTTCCAAATAGGCATATAACTGGTCATAAACTATCCTTTCAAACACCTTCGCTATTATTGGAATCACCGATATTGGGCGGTAATTGTTATCATCACCGCGGTCACCCTGTTTATAAAGAGGGGTAATCCTTGCATGTTTCCAGTCGTCTGGGAACGTCCCTTGGCTAATAGATTGATTGAAAATATCACATATCGGCACACAAATAAGATCAGCACATTCCCTGATAAACCTAGCAGATATTTTGTCAAGGCCCGTTGCCTTTGACTTGTCTAGTTTATTTAAAAGTGAAAATACTTTAGTTGGATTGGTGGGTTGGAGCTTAAACCGATTATCTGTTGCAGTAAGATAACTTTGATAGCTAAGACTATCACAATTTATCTCACTGGCAAGTTTTGGACCAATATCAGCAAAGTGGTTATTGAATTCGTTTGATAGCTCCAACAGATTAGTTATCGTTAATCCGTTCACTTTTAGTGACGCCACTGGCGTTCTCTCAGATTTTCGAGAAGTTAGCTCGTTTATAGTCTGCCAGGTCTTTCCGGAGTCGCTGGTGTGCTTATTAAAACTATTTTGGTAATAAACTTGCTTAGCTGACCGTATTTGCTTATTGACTATATTTCTTTGTTTCTTAAATAATGCCCAATCGTTAGGATCATTTCTCTTGCTAGCTTTGATTTTTAATATGTCTCTATTATGTCTCTCTCATTTCACAATGAAGCCTTGTTCTTTGTTGGCGCAGGGTGTTGACTCATCCATATTTTGGACGATGGTATGTTCGTTAGAGGTGTTACTCATTGAACGGCATTGAGTAGCTGCTTCTCTGGATACGATTTGCAATGCAAAACTTAAAGAATCGCGTTCTTGGACTAACTTTTTATTTTCTTCCTTCAAAGATAGAATTATCTCCCTAAGTCGAGAATTTTCGGATCTCAGGTCTTCCTCATTAGGTTTCTCTTTTATATGAGCCCATAAGTTCAGCACTTCAGATTTCAGACAGTCCAACTCCTCTTGTACTGATTTGGCATTCTTGTTAAACGCCGGAGTAGAAGCTTCTTCATTCACGAGAATAACTGAGTCGTCATCAGCCGGTATCTGGAGTAGCTTCTTCAGTTTGGCTTTCATTGCTTTTGTATCCGGACCTTGGACTTGAAGGGTACCGGTACTGTTAAATAAAACCAGCGTGATTGTCTTCGACTTCAAAGAACTAGACCTTTCAGAGGGACTCGCGGTTGCAGAAACTTCCAAATTTAGGACTTTCGAACAAAATTCCTGAAGTTGTGTTAGGCTCCCTTTCCACTTGAATAGACTTTGTTTGTCGTCCCAATGTAGATATTGGTTTAAGGGAGATGAAGAAGGTTCAGTGGCAACAAATTCGGCGGAATTCGTGGAGCCTTCAGATACACGTCCGCACGCCATCATGCAACTATTCTATGCAATANGATCTTTTCCAGGTATTCTTGAGATCATCGAATCTCCTATGAGCAGGGTTGTGCGCTCTTTTGGTTGTTTTTCGGGTTCGGATTCTTTTCCTGTCAGGGTGTTATTAGGACCTCCTTTACCTTTCGATTTCTTTCTTTTGTTCTTTGATTTCACAATGAAGCCTTGTTCTTTGTTGGCGCAAGGTGTTGACTCATCCATATTTTGGACAATGGTATGTTCGTTAGAGGTGTTACTCATTGAACGGCATTGAGTAGCTGCTTCTCTGGATACGATTTGCAATGCAAAACTTAAAGAATCGCGTTCTTGGACTAACTTTTTATTTTCTTCCTTCAAAGATAGAATTATCTCCCTAAGTCGAGAATTTTCGGATCTCAGGTCTTCCTCATTAGGTTTCTCTTTTATATGAGCCCATAAGTTCAGCACTTCAGATTCATCACTTTTAAATGACAAGAATCAAGGCTCACCTCTCCATTTTCACTCTTTTCATCTTTTTTTTGTGCTTTTTGCCTCAGCCTCTTTTTGTTCTTTTTCTTTCTTTTCCTGTTCTTCTCTCTTTATTCTCTCTGCTTTTTCCTCTGTCACTTCTTGTATGTTTGCCTCTGTTTTTTGTTGTGCTTCCTTTTGGGCTTTCACTGCTCTCAAAGATTCAGCAGCCTTTTTCTCTTTTTCCTTTTTCTGATAAACACCAAAAACCAGAACCGAGAAGTACTTTTATCTGTGTACCTACGACAAAGTCTTGATACAGTCAGTAATAAAAACAGCTCCTCCTTAGTAAGATAAGGAAATGATTAGTAATCTTCCAGAAGTACAAGGAAGCTGTCCTTACAATTTCCACATTACTACACAGAATTTGAAACCTTGAAGCATCATGGAGCTCAAATCAACTGCAGCTGGATTGAAATTGAAATCTCAGAATCAAACTAAATAGATTGAAGTTACTTCAAATCTACAGCATGTATGCACTCCACATTGTATGAGCTCTCAACACTTCATGACAAAATGTATCTGATCCAGTGCTGTGAGAAAGAAGTTCGTCTAGCGTTTTCCTGAAGGACGCCATTCTCGACCAAGGGGCTGAAAAAAGTTCGCGTCTTGTTTATCTTTTCTTAAGTCTAAATTCCCGCGCAAAGAACGGCGTTCTCGCCAGGCCTTTATATGTCGTTAAGTCCTAGAAGAAGACGCCGTCCGTCTCTATTATTAGTGCCAGACCTCCGAAAACCCTTCCTGACCCACCTAAAATCTTCCTGCTGGTAGAAAAACGCACATTTTGAGGCGCTAATAATGAACGCCTGATCGTAAGCTAGTCATTCGGTAAAGTACAAATAATGTAACCAGATGTAAAATAAATTTTAGATCGCAATTGAAAATTAATTAGGCTGTCAAAACAGTTTTATGCCGCTGTGATATATTATAGCTTGCAGGGCTGCAAATAACGGCCGGTCAACGGACAATGTCAGGTCAAAATTGGATACTGTCCGGACAAATCCTTGGGTGGCCGGACATCTTGTCCGGTCATCTACCGACTCGTTCAAAGAAATTTTAATTTTTAACTGTTTGATAATCACAAGGGACAACAGTCATGTTTCCGAAAGAAAAAAAAAACTATTGCAAAAGTAGACAAATTAGTGGTCGAGAAATTCCCGGCAGTCTCAAATTTCCACGATGTCATCAAGGCCTGTCGCGACCGCAAATCATCATGTCTTCCGTTTTTCATCTACTTTATTTAAGTGTTCCCAGTCAGTAGAGGGTTTTACCATTGGCTAGATACCATCATTTACTCTTAAATAAAGTGATTGATTGTTTGACTGATTGAATGATAGGAAAGCACCCTTACGAAGAATAATCTTGCTGCATCGAGAATACTCCAAGTAGCATTTGTTGCAAAGTGCAAAAAGTGAGCAAACGGCCCAAAACCTGGAGAATCCGACCACTCTTAAACTCTAACAAAACTTCACAACTGTAACTTTAAAAATAGGGCTCCGAGTTGTACTGAAAACAAAAGAAAGGTCAAGATAAAAGAGAGTTTGTCTTTATTTGTCTGCAAGTAGATATTTTCTGTTATTACTAACCTCTGAATTGCCCGGCTCACTCAACATTTTTTTTATTATCCTTTCTGTTTTAGATGAAGGGAAACATATTTACACTCAAAATATTCTTATCTGTAACGTGTTCGGAATGTACCAGAAAGTGACGTGATTGTATCTCAAGCGGCCGACCAGATGATTGAACACACGATCCCATTGTCACGCAGAGTGTGTAAACACGAATGCAATTGGCCAATAACAGTATGCATATAACAGCATATTTTCTTTAAAGTTCAGTTGTAGAACTGATGTGGTGATTTCCAAAGTGTATTATTCAATTATAGGTGATTTTGCCAGATGTGAAGTAAAACGGACAATTGCGGTTGTGTCTACTCTTGCGTAACCGTTCCACATACTAAGCACTACTCGTACCTTTATCCGCTCATCACTACGTGTCATTCCTTCTTCTAGCGATCTCACTTTATTTTCAAGAGCTGGTACAACTTGGCTTTCATATCTTTGAATTTCAGTTTGCAATCGTGAAGTCGTCTCGTGTGCAGCAGAGAGTTCATCTTTTGGTTCATTAACTTTTCCATCCATAGAAGCTAGGCGCGTTTTTGTCTCATCAAGCTCAATCGCTGACGGTTTCAGCTCATTTATCTTTCTCCTGCTCTCACTCTTGACACTCTCCAATTCTGCATCTTTCTCACTGATGTTTCTATTCCTAACTTGTCTTGAGCACTTTCTTTGTTCAAGTCTACAGAACGATTTGCCTGAAAAAGTTCGCATTCTTTCTTGGACAAAACTGCGATCTCTTCTTCAAGGGCTTTCTTCAATTCCGCTGTCGTCTTTAAATTCTCCTCTTTAATGTTCTTCAGTTCCGTCTCCTTTTCTGTAACTTGTTTTCTTAGGTCGTTCAATGCAGCCATTTTATCACAAATATCTTTCTTTGTGTTATCCAATTCTGTCACTTTTTCGCCAAACTCCTTCTTCATCAATTCAAGTCGAGATTCTTTTTCTTTGTACTCGCCTTTGATAGCTTCCACTTCAGCTTTGGCATCACGAACCTCTTGAGTAGCTGCCTCAAGTTTCTTCGTCAAAGCAGCCATCTCGGTGGCTTTTTCAGAAATAACGTTGTCTGTCTCTTTGGCCAGGGCGTTTTTCTTTGCTTGTGAATCCTCAATAACTTGATTTAGTGACGATATCTCCTTCTCCAGCTCTTTACAGCGTTGTTCTGCTTTCTGAAGCTCGTCTTTTATTCTTACGTATGATGCACGATCCTCGCAGTAGATAGCGCTATAAAGCAATAGCGAAAATCAGACCTGAAAAAAATCAGGCCTGTACGGGATTCGAACCACTGACCTCTGCGATACTAGTGCAGCGCTCTACCAATTGAGCTAACAAGCCAACTGATAGCAGGCCGTTAAGTTGATTCGTAATAAACCCGTGAAAGTGATTAATCAGATACAAAGTAGATAATTAGATACGTATGATGCACGAGGATCGTGCATCATACGTATCTAACACCGCAGTTCAAAATATATGAACTTCATATATTTCATTGTATCTTTTATTCTTATTAGTTCTTCGTCGTTGTCAAATGCTTGAGCCACATAACTCCTCTCACGGGCTAATTCTTCTTTTGTCTGCTCCAATGTCCTCACCAATTCTTTCATCATTGTGTTTAAATTTGTCTCTAACTGATGCTCTGCGTCTGTAAGTTTGACCCAGGCAGCGTTCAGGGCACCTTGCGTCCGCAAAAGGTCAGCGGAATTTTCCGTCTTCATAGGCGCTGCCTTCCCTTTCTCAAACTCATTTATGAGATGTTGGAGGGTTGCGTCCTGTATGCGGTGAGAACAAAACACAGGGGAGTTAGTCTGGCCATCTCGAGCAATTCAAGTCATCACGCAGCGCGCCTGAGAAAACGGAAAGTGTAGGATATTTGAGCTTCGATAGACTTTATGAAGTTCAGCGTCAATTATAATGAACTTTACGTGTAATGAGCCATTTTAAATACTCTGGTCACAACAGTGTACAGGGGGTGAGGTGTAATGTGAAAAACGTCGAGTTGAATCAAAACACTGAGCTGTTCGTGCAGTTGGTAATGTCGAGTTTCTATCGCCTCGAACGCATCTGTTTTTTAATGCAAGCTTCCTGTTCATCAAGTGCTGCTTTCAGTTTACTTATCTCGGCTTCTTTCTCAGAGAATGCTTCGCCAGCCTCTTCAAGCATCTGTTTAAGTTCTGCGGCTTCCTCGTTAGCGGGATTGAAATGAGCCTGCAGTTCCAAAACTGCCTCTGAGGTCGCTACCTTGTCTTGTTTGTTTTCTTTTAGTTGTTTGATTTCGTGGCGCAACTCAGCAATCTGTGCATTCAGTACACCTACGAGTCGTTGTTGCTCCTGAAAAACAAATAGCAGATTTCTTGATTACGGATCAAAATAGTGAAAATAACTACGACTTAAATTAATTACAAATATTTTGCCATAAGGATGCTGACCCAATAGGCCATCGAAAAATTTGTGGAGGTGAGATGGAAAAGTGATTAGTCGTGCGCTAAACGTCTGATCTAGAGGTCTGGACGCGAGCCTATGTTGCGGTCTTGGGATGGACACAGCACCTCTCTCCACTCAGGAGCTGCGAACTTTCAAGGGAGCTTGACGAAATGTAAGGGGAGGGGTGAGGGGTAACCCACGATGAACTAGCGTCCCATCCAGGCAGAGAGTACGAGGTGGAGAAGCTGTTGTATGCCTCTCCATCCAGGAGTATAAATGGGATCTGAGGAAATGGTGAGGAAATCTAATAAAACAGTGCGGGTTAGAGGTGATGGGAAAAGAAAAACAAAACAAAAAAACAAAAACCCCTCCCGTCTGCACAGAGTAACAAACTTGTTGTCATGCTACAGGAACTGAAAGAGTACAACTTTACTACTCAAACCCATAATCATTCTGTCACCATGGTATATAGTTACTTCACCAACTTACTCACCCACACCTTAGTCTGCTCTGCATGTAAAAACATACTTGGCACCCATTCCTCATCGTCGTCTTCTGCTCTTTCGATCCGGGCCCTTTTTCTAGACTTCTTAACCAACTGCGTGAGAGGTTCAATCCTGCAGTCAGACTTTTCCTCTACAGTGTTTACCTCCATTTTAACACGGGGACTGAAATTTGAGAATAAATCGCACGGTTTCTACTCTGTTCTGTTATTGGGACACCTTTAATAACTGACTGAAAGTTAACACACAGCTCAGCTGAAACACACATTCGAATTTCACTTCTATATGTTCTATATGATACTAGAGAGAAGACTGATATTAACACAATTTCGTTATTTGTTACCTGTAGGCATCCTCGATGGAAACAAGTTGTTCAGCCATTTCCTTGCAAACTTCTTCTCGTATCTTTATTTCCAGAGTCTGCATCTTGCGTTTCTCTTCAATCAGTTGTTCTTGGAGAACTTTAACTAAGCCCACAAGTTGCTAAATGTGACAAAATTGATACAAAAGTACGATATGCCAGCATAACAGACTCAAACCCCATCTGATCTTAACCAACATTATCCTTTTTTACTTCACTAGTTTTTCACTTAATGATTTTGTGCCCTTTTGGCAGCTTGACATCAGCAATAAAAGTAACCTCAAGGAGGAAAAAAAGTGTTGAGAGACTAAGCCAAGAGGACTTGAGACAAGTCAGGGGAAGATTAGTGGTGGGTCTGGGACTTGTAATATTTGATAGTGTATTCTGATAGTGCAGGTGAGGTTAGTCCTGAGCCAAAGTCATCATCAAAGTGAACATTTGTTGTCAAACCAATGTTCTAAGTCCTGTTTTTATAAACTGATTGGTCAGATTTGTCAAGATGTTATTGGGTGTAACACTCGACTGGCATAAGTTGGTTGTGATTGGTCAGTTTTGATCTGTTGGTAAAGTTGGGTTATTCTGTTTAATTGGTTTTTAATGTTCATGTTGTGAATAAGTCATTTGAATGGTGCCCAGTAGTAGTAGTAGACACCTGTTGATGGGAGTCTGTATGAAGTTGGTTAATAATTAATAGACTTGCACTTAAAAACTTATAATTAGTAGTAATGTCAGTGTTAGACTCCAAGAAGACCTCTTGCATCGCTCTTGTTGTTCACAGCCTCATACTTTACCTCTAGCAAAGAAATTCTTGTGCCAAAGCCATAATGATAAAGGCCTGTTCAGAGGCTATGAATGACAAATCTGTTGGTAAGGGTTGGGTTCCATTATGACACTTTCCTCCTCTATATCTTCATCAACATTTGTGAGGGTATCATCACAAGGGACTGAGGTGTAAAGAGCCCCTTTGATCCATGGCACAGAGGGCCTAGCTGGTTTTGAACATGGTGTAGCTGCCACCTGGCAATAAACAAGGAGAGAATTAGACATCAATAACTGTACACTGAAAGATTTGGCTTTTAATTATTAACTTTCTGCACTAATTTCTCCAGTTAATGATATATGTCAGGTAACATCCAGCACGTAAAGACGAGAAATCTCTACATATTTTCTCACCTTTTTGGCAATAGCCGAAAACTTCATGACATGGAATGTTTCATCAAACATGGAAGCGCACATGTTAACATTGACAATCAAAGCAGCCCTTCCTTTTCCACAGAAAAATCCCTGGAACAGTCTGGTGAGTTTACTTTCACGGAATGGGATGATAAGTGGTTGATTCCTATAAAAATAAATTAAAAGTTTCGGTTGAGGTAAAAGATGACAGGTTTTTTTTTTAATAAAAACATAAAGTACAGTATGATTGACATTTATTCTAAAGCTGAAAACTACTATCAACATGGATTTGCAGTCTGCTGGACAACTTATACTTACGAGTTTTTCTGATTGTAACGTAAATATTCCAAGCATTTTCCCAAAGTCATCAAGGAGGTGTTGATATTACCAGCTTCTTTGAGTCTGTCTCCCTTGCTCTGGGTTTTTGAGTAGCGCTCAGATCCTGCTAAATCCACAAATGAAAGTCTGCAGAAAAAAAATTCTGTTAATTGTAACCGCTTTAAGTGTAGCATTGTCTCCCCCGTGAGCAATTAAAACACACTCCTAACCAGCTAGGCCCTCTGTGCCATGGATCAAAGGGGCACTTCACACCCCAGCTCCTTTGTGATGATACCCTGACAGAGGTTGATGAAGATATAGAGGGGAAAAGTGTCAAGAGAATCCATGTAAGAACATGGAGTTGTAGATCTCTATAAATATAAAGGTTCTGGAGGATACTTTACTACAAGTAGATGACATGTAATATTTTTTAATCAATGTCTTTTGAACCATTTGTGATTTCTAAATTAGTAATTTTGAGAGAAATTGCATAATATGTTCACCTCTTACCTGCTAACTCTTGCTACGTGAGGATCATCAACATCTACAACTCGCAGAACTTTAATGCTGAAGATACAGTGACTGAATTACTTTGTTAGTAATACTGGTATGCAATGATACGATCCACGTCCATGTGTCATCATTATCATCACTACTATTACAACCACCATCATCATCATCATCACCTCACCATGCTAGTTGGCAACAAATATGCCACAGAATGGACCAAAAAAGACCCTAATGTAACTCACAATAGCAATTTGTTGTTTTTACCTACGACTGGAACATTGGTCTAACTTTGTGGAAGCTATTCTTTGATTTTTCTGGCCAATCTTAAGAATGTATACACGAAAACAAAATTGTTTAATTTCACATGTCACCCCTCTGAGCAAATAAACAAGCCATATTTGATTTATTGGTGATTATGAGCAGGTAACCTGAGAAGGGAAAACAGAAGGTGGAGAGGAAGAAGGATGGAAGCATATCTTACCTTGCAGGCTTCATCAGCATTGGAGACATACATTTCTCTCAATCCTTTATTAATAAATGTATATAGGCATCATTAGCAACNGAAAAAAAATTCTGTTAATTGTAACCGCTTTAAGTGTAGCATTGTCTCCCCCGTGAGCAATTAAAACACACTCCTAACCAGCTAGGCCCTCTGTGCCATGGATCAAAGGGGCACTTCACACCCCAGCCCCTTGTGATGATACCCTCACAGAGGTTGATGAAGATATAGAGGGGAAAAGTGTCAAGAGAATCCATGTAAGAACATGGAGTTGTAGATGTCTATAAATATAAAGGTTCTGGAGGATACTTTACTACAAGTAGATGACATGTAATATTTTTCAATCAATGTCTTTTGAACTATTTGTGATTTCTAAATTAATAATTTTGAGAGAAAGTGCATGATATGTTCACCTCTTACCTGCTAACTCTTGCTACATGAGCATCATCTACAACTCGCAGAGCCTTAATGTTGAAGATACAGTGACTGAAGATTGAAAGAATTACTTTGTTAGTAATACTGGTATGCAATGATAAGATCCACTTCCATGTGTCATCATTATCATCACTACTATTACAACCACCATCATCGTCATCATCACCTCACCATAGCTAGTTGGCAACAAATATGCCATAGAATGGACCAAAAAAGACCCTAATGTAGCTCACAATAACATTTTGTTGTTTTTACCTACGACTGGAACATTGATTTAACTTTGTGGAAGCTATTCTTTGATTGTTCTGGCCAATCTTAAGAATCTATACACGAAGAAAAGAAAGATTGTTTAATATCAGAATATGTCACCCCTCTGAGCAAGTAAACAAGCCATATTTGAATTATTGGTAATTGTGAGCAGGTAACCTGAGAAGGGAAAACAGAAGGTGGAAAGGAAGCAGGATGGAAGCATATCTTACCTTGTAGGCTTCATCAGCATTGGAGACGTAAATTTCTCTCAATCCTTTATTAATAAATGTATATAGGCATCATTAGCAACTTGCCTTAAATTTTCCACTTTATGAGGTAATTATCATTATTAATAGCATTATTTATTTACTGCTAATAGTGTCTTAAGTTACAATAAATTAACAAAAACATATTGGAAGAGAAAAGTCAGGTATTGGTAATTTAGTCCTCCTTAATTGTCACATCCTTGTCAACTGATGATCCGTTTGATAGGTCTAGCTGAGTGTGCAGTTTTGTCAAAAAACTTGACCATTAAAACAAATTAGTTCTGAAAGTGAGAAACCATAGATAGCTATGACAGATTCTCAAGCACAAGGTCCTTGTTGTTTCTGAAGACAGAAAACACAAATCTGCCAAGGTATGTTAAAAACTACTAGCTTGCACCTCAAAATCTGGATGTTTCAAATGTAATAAATAAACCACACTGTTTGCCAGGAAGAGGCCAAAGGAAAACAAAATGAAGCATACAGTGCCATACAAGCTAAAGGGAACATGACAGTCACCTATTTTATTACATGCAAATTTGTAAAAATAATAAAATAAACTAAATTATTAATCATTTCTGAGCAATTAATAAAGCAACAAGGCTATCTCAAAGGTTTGACTTTGGTCTTTAATCAGCACATACCTTTGATATAGGGATTCCCATTTGAGTCATCACCTAGTCTGAGTGCTGTTCTTTTTTTACCGATCCCTGTAGGATATGGCTCCAACAGATCAAAGATTGTTTCATTGTAGATTTCGGCGAAAGAAACCCAAACAGAGAATTTAACTGGTCCTTGTGTATCTACATTGATTGTGGTGTCATCTGCAACCCTGGAGACATTCTCCTTGTTATCAATGGAAGACTCTAAAAATCGAATTTAGA